TTGAATGTCGAACGTCAAACGAGGAACTACATGTAACTTCACATCGGTCTTTTTGTCATATTTGTTATGAAAGTTTTTAATTAATTTCGAATTCCTATTAAATTTGGCAGTTGATAGACCTACATATGTATCAGCAGGGTCCCAAGAGTATGAATTACCCTAAAAAATAAGGATTGCCTGTTTTGGCAGTTCGCAAATTCATCTGCAACAACGCCACGCACTTCTCACGAAATAGATGCAATTTATAAGCAATGACAAATATATTCCATATGGACAGCTGGATATGACATGAACGCATCTGTTTTTCTTTCATCAAACTCAAAACTATACCAAGAAACTTTGAACACCTTAATATAAAGGGTAAAGTCTACAAAGCAGAAAAACGTTTTGTTTGAGTAACAGTGTTAAGCCACTGAAACATACCTGTCCTTTTGTGCAGGATTCTGGCTCACACCGTACTGCGCCATGCCGTCACTATCTTTCTGTCTTTCTCAGTTTAGTGTACATGTACATAGTACATACTATGGTGCTCCATATGTGCCATCCGGCGTCGCATTTTTCAACCGGTGTCGCATTTTTCATTTCTTCATCGGAAAGACCTATGGAGGCCAGGATCTCGTCCATCACTGGTACCGCCAGCTTATTATGAAATACTCGAAAACTAGTCTAATAAAGAATGAAGTAATCTGTTGTGGAGATTTTCACACGTACGGCAACATTTGTCACAGAAAAAAAGAAAATTAGACAGAAACGCATGTACATGTACGTGTAACCCCAGGGTCGATCAAGAAGCAGCAGCTACGACGAAACAGCCTTTTCAAACAGTGACACGTTTCAAACCCAAATCCACATGCACTCCTCAAGACCTTGGGAAGTCAGTTCGTGGAGTAATAAACACAATTCCCCCACCAACAAAGAAAGATAAATGATCTCAAGCCCATGACCAGACGGCCTCCACCGGGGGAATACCTTAACCACGGACCATTCATTTTTGCCTGAACAACTTCAAATGTGTGAAATACCTTTCTACTACTGTAATGAAAAAATAAGATCAGTCTTGGCTTCTTCTGGACAGATTTTCATGGTTCAAAAAGTGTTTTTGGAAAAACTGTGCGTGATTTTGTATTGCTGACAATTTCTTTCAACCAAGAAAACGTACAATTTCTCAAAGTTATGGTGCGTGACATTTCTTCGCCAAGAGTAATTACATTTTAAATTATAGACTGTACTGCGATAAACGCTCCCTCGGGAAGCATGTCTGCAAGATGGCAAATACCATACCAACCAGAGTGAACAATGGGCCTACTATACTGGGTTTGATTTTTGTGGCAACTAGTAATCATCAGTAAGGGAACATTTTTCACTCAAAAAGCTTGCAGAAGTGAGAAACCAAATTGAGCGAGGTGAACTTCCACGAATAATCGGGTTCATTAAAGGGCTGTTAATTTATTTACATACAGTTAATCGACGCATACATGCTAATTTAGCCGTTTCCATAATCATTAAAAATATGTACGCACACTTTTAGCATCCAAGTCAACAACTTGTGGTCCGGCTGGACCAAGATTGACCATTGATGACTAATGGCTTATTCACATTGAAAGGCGACGGCGGTTGCCAAAAAAATTGCGACGGCGGTTGAAAAATGCGACGGCAGTTGAAAAATGCGACGCCGGATGGCACATATGGAACACCATAACATATACAAATGCACGAGGTAGTCTGGTACTCGGGGAAAAAAAACAAAATATGACTATAGATACTTTTGCTAGCGCTTACGAAACCCCAGAAGTGCCATCAAGTACATAATAGGCCTATATATTTTTTAATTAAAGGAAGTGAAGTCTTAAACGCTTAAAAATTCCTATGAGAGAGGACATACCAGACGTCTTTCCGAGATGGTCGAGGTCATGAAGAGAAATGCAGAGTCTTGCAAGTTTTAGACAACTACGAGATCCGTCTTTCGCGTGCCTGATGAACCCTGACGAATTTATAAGGCACATCTGGAAACGTGGATGGTCACTTGAAGCTCTCTTAACTCTAATAGAATGGGGGAAGGGGAATCTGCCCCCTCCACAATTTTTCCGATATTGCAGCAGTGCATTTTTGTTTCAGAAGTTGAACCTTTCAGACTTTTTGGAGTAACTCTTTGCGGCAATTCAGACATCATTATTTGCAAAAATCCCTCATACTGTTCTCGCACAGCGTGCATTTTTCCGAGACGGGTCAGCCAACTTTAAAAAAATACTTTTTTCCACTGCGGTGCTCAATGCACGAGTACTGGCACGCATGTAGCCTTGAACTTCAAATGACCGTAACAACATAACCATATCTTCGATTGAGTTCAGACTTCACATTTTCAATAATAATAAGTGTTTGTATATCCTTACCAAGTTTCAAAAAAAATCGGTGGTGGTACAGCCGAGTTCTTGGGGGCGGAGACCTTTAATTTTCCGACAGTGTAAGGTGCATGTGCTCTTTCTATGTGACGGTCGTATTTCTTTCCGGCTATCGCTCACCGTCAGTCCAAGACTATAGTCTATACACCTCAACGAGCAACAAGGGGTGATGGGCCACAGCTCTGGACCAGTACAAGCTATACCAACAACTACTTATAACCACTAGCTACTTTTCGACCAGCATCTTTTTAAACCATTCATATCTTGTTGGTGTTTTAGGATTTGAAAGTACCAGAATTCCAGAAACCACCCTTAATTTGTAGGGGTTGATTTGGATTCTTTTTGCGGATGAATAAAGTGTATAGACAGTCGTTTTCGGTGAAAAACTGTTTTGCCCTTCCTTGGCCCTATATCACCACTGACCACGCTCCCCGATTCTTCCCTCCCCGACTTGGGATTTCACATGTATATACACAGCCTATGTGTAAACCGTTTCAAGGTTTATGGTCTTTATGATTTCCTTACAATCATTTACACGCATTGCTTCACAACGCACCCACCCCTTTCAGCCAATTCTGAGTCTAAGACGTTTTTAAGAGTTGTGTCGCAAAAACCACATACCTTATACATTATTGCCGTATTGCAACAACCTGGAAAATATGGTACAGGTCACAGGGGTGTGTCAAACACGCATCACGTAAGATTCACCACTCGCGTCACGTCACAAAACCAACGACACGCTCCCGCGCGTACACCCATACGCACGTTAATATCCATGGTTTCAGCCAGGTGCGTCACAAAATGTCCTGAAACTGTCCGAAATGGTCCGAAACATTCTATGTCATAAAGCGCATGCGTAGATGAAACATTATGTCAGAGACAATAGGCCAAGACGCAGAATAGCAGAAAAATTAAACAAACTTCTTGGTAACCGCTCCATATTCAACTAACATCGCTTGCGAATCAGACGTTTGAACTTCATGATTCCTTTGAAGATGACTTCGAATAAGACTTTGAATTGTCGAGGCGACGACGCCGAACCGGTAAACTGTTTTCAGTTTGTATTTTGAGTTCCGAATGAATAATCTTTGATATAACAACGTCATTTTCAGTCAAAATACTATAGTAACGTTGAAGTGTTAATAAAATATTAAAAACGCTGATCATGGCGTATGTCATTTAGGCCAATATAATTACATGTATTTTCCAATTTTCATGGACTGATTTGATGATGTTATATAATATTCTTTTCAGGTTTACCAGATATGTCAACAATCGCTCACCAGGGATTACCAGGTTATTCAGATCAAGGATGAGAATCGGAGAATAAAGATGATCCTCCGTGCAACTGACCACAACTCATTCACCACGGTAAGAATGTTGGCCAGCCTCTCATAATCTTATAAGCTACTCTTTCAAAAATTGCGGATATCTTTACTCGATTCAAAATAACCATGTATGTTTTCGTCTTTTATATATGTCTAGGTGGTGTCTCTGCCGGCTACACGGAAGAGGCCAGCAGTGGCCTTTGACCACGGATCGTTCCCCAAAAAGAGGAGATCAACGAGCTATCATGCTCACTATCGTCGTAGCGTGGCTAAGGTAATGATGGACAAAAACAACCGACAAGTTTTAACATCAGGTCCCATCAAAATGTTGTCAGCTGACAAATACTTCTTTTCTTGAAATTTTGGCCTGTAAATTGGTTTTGTTGGACTTTTTCGCAGGCTGCCGCCAGAAGTGTTGGACAACCGACGGTCAGAAAGAGACTGTTGCCACAGAATGAGGGGCATGAACCGAAGAGGCCTCGCGTCGCTGAGTCCCAGGACTCAGACAGTGACAACAGGAGTCCCAGCATCGACAATGACTGGTTCATCCAAGTAGGACTCAGTGCAAAAGATATTGAGGTACTGGACAATGGGGAGTGGCTGACAGACGAACATATCTCCGCGGCACAGAGACTGCTCCGCCGTCAGTTCCCTACTTTCGGCGGGCTGCAGGAGCCTGTCCTTGGGGAAATACTCCAGTTTGAGCCCATGACCACGGACGGAGCCCAGATCATGCTTAATGGAGGAGGGCACTGGGTGACTGTCTGCAGGGCAAACAGTGAAATAAAACTGCTGGATAGCAAAAATGAAGGACTTAATTCGAAGCTGTCCAGCCAGATCATAAATTTGTGCGGGGACAAGGTTGGGCGATCATTAGGCCTCCAAGTCCAGCTTCCCGTGATGCACCCGCAGCGAGGTTCCAGCGATTGCGGACTCTTCGCTGTTGCCTATGCCACCGAGGTGGCTTTCGGGGGAAGACCCGAATTGACTGTCTTTGATCAGAAAGCAATGAGGAAGCATCTTAAGTGTTGTCTGGAATCACAAAAGATGACACCCTTCCCAAGGAAGAATTGCGCCCAAAGGACTTCTAGAAATGTTGGGTGCAAAGCTCAGACACTCAGGAACTGATTATTTCATCGTATTTTATATTTAATATTGATCTTCATTTTGTTGAGAAAGGCAGAATCAGGAATGAAATTCAAATTTATTTTTCAAGAAAAAACGGATTGCCGGATTATGTGCACATTTTAGAACATATTTTTTCTATTTAAATGAAATAAATAAATTACATGTAACGTGTATTCAGTCTTAATGTTTTGTAATTTAAAAAGTGCAACATGATCTTAACTTGAAACCAACTTGGGAAAGACATCCAAAAGAGACGCGTTTACGATAAAATATTTCATTCCGTATGCACTGCACTAAATTCGAACTGAAATAAATTTAATGAAACGGGAAATTTCATTTAAAAATTGTGAAATAAATCATGTGACTACGACAGCAGACGGTTCATTTTGTTGGCTGTTTATTCTTCATTGTGAATAGACGTGAGTAATGCAAGGGAGGACCGATGTGAACTTTGCCAATTGTGGCAACTTGAATGACGGTACGGTAGGCCTAGATAAATATGTCAGTATACTTCGCACTACAAACTTTTTCCTGAAGTATTGGTGTTTTCATTAGACGACTTCTCTTCCCGCGCTTGCGTCTTCTTAGAGACAGAGGCCGTTTTCCAATACTCAACTTCGTCTCCGTCTCAGGCTTTGCATAGGAAGCCAATCCTCGATTTTAATTGTGGGCCTGAAACGTTTAACTTAGATTAAAGTACTGCAATTTTGGCTCTTTTGCATCTTACTTGATATTCTGTGGCACTATCAGACTTACCGTTGCGCTTATAACCTCAAAGTCAGGAAGTAAACAACCAATTGAAGCTTGAGACGGAGCCCAAGTCGAGTATTGGAAAACAGCCGGAAGCTCCTTCAATCGGAACTGACCTTCGGTGGTTTACGAACGATTAGGAAATGCACGCATTACGGTCGCATCGCTACCAACAAATTGAACACTCCCGACCAACGCGGCTCTTTTCAACCGATGAGGGGGTGGTTCTGCTCAAGCGAGGCGGATACACTGCGACATCGCGTTTTTGCACCAAGTGCAATTTTACGCCAACATTTCGCGTATGGGGTTGAAAGCATGCATTAAAACATTGCGCTCGTCTTAGAGAGATTAACAAAACTTAGTGCGCCCTCTCTCTCGAGATTCGTGCCCATCTTGTGCACCGGCTCTGAACTAGGAGAAGAAAAAATGTGTTCCCCGTTTGAACAATTACCAAAATTACTGAAAATAGTCTTTCAAAAGATTTCTCCGCCAAGGGCTCCCTGCAACTCAGACCATAATTATGTTACTGGCAACTAGAAAACAAGTATGAGTTTATAGGGACAAAATTGATGGAAAAGTTGCTTACCCAACAAAACCGGGGGGGGAATTCAGTGCAAGAGACGTCAAATGGAATCTTTATTTACAGGGACACATTTTGCTAGTGTGTTCAGGGTTTTGTTTGTTTTTAGTTTGTTAGTTTGTTGAGATGTACTATGCGATCGTCGCATGCCACTTCGACTGAAGTCCAAGATCTACCGCACTGACTGCAAAGACTGCACACCAAGGAAATGAACTTGGCACGATGAGCCTGCGGTGTCACACGCCTCGACATTATTCCAAACACTGAGATTCGAGAGCGTCTCGACATTGCATCCATCCAACTCAAAATGCAAGAACGTCTGCGCTGGGTAAGACACGTCCAGCGGGCCCAGGAGAACTCCGTCTGGACAGCAACCCCCGTCGTTTCAGCCGGTATGCGTCCACGTGGACGCCCCAAGAAACGCTGGCAAGACGTCGTAAACGCCGATCTCAAAGCCAAACGCCTGAGCGCCAACTATGCAAATGATATGACCAGGGTGCTTGGCGAAAGAACATCATGGTAGCCGACCCCAAATTGGGAGAAGGCTAGGAAGAAGAAGGTTTGTTGGGATGTTTTTCTTTCTTTCTTTTTTCTTTTCTTCACAGTGTTAGATATTTACAAAGCTCCGTTAAAGGTCGAAGTTATGCATGGTGGTTACTGTAAAGAGAAGTTTAAATTAGGTGAAACCGTGGAAGACCTTTCATTTTTTCTTCAGACGACCAGAGCCTTCTGGTCAAAACTCATACCTTACCAAAAGAAACTATTCCACGCAAAATGGACGCAAAATTCCCCTCATTAGTGTAGGTAAACATACACAAGGGTTAAATGTCCTTTGCCTTTGGCTCGGGCCATTGTCAGCGTTTATTTTCTTGATCCGTTCTTAGCAAACGTTGCGCATGCAGAATCTCCAAAGGCTTCTTGACACAATACAAATCACAAGTATTTGGCGATGAAAATGATCGAACCCCTAAATTTTCCTCAGAGGATGTAATGCTGTTTTCATCATGTGGGCTGTTATGATCCGAAACTCCCCAAACTATCAGTGACTGTAAATGATTCAAAAAGTCTGAGTTTTCTCGGATGCAGCAAAAAATCAAACAAGATCACACTGATATAAAGAGCATCGAAACAATGTGATTTATTAATGGGAATTATTAAACGCACTTCAGGTGTTGACAGGGTTTAACAAAAATTAACAGTGAGTGGGTTTATGCTAAAGTGTGTCTATGTCATGCCAAAATGAATACAAAGACTACAGCCGAGGACTTGACCAGGCTCTGCAACGAAGGACTATAATCCCAGGATGGCGAAAACAGTTCTTTGGCGATGTAAATTAGCTGGGACGCGGGGCGAATTCACCTTCCACGTACGGCCGAAATAAACACAAAAAGCTTACTGTCGATTGGAAAATCCTGAAATACTGAACTGCAGACTCAGTTCACGAACTCTCTTCCGGAATTACATTCAGCTCTCAAGCAGTTCTCGGTGGAACATTTTCCAATCGCTCCACAGACGAGTCGACGAGATATGGTCAGCGATTGGCTCCGTTATGCACCGACCACCTAGCCATTTCTAGGAGTCTGTAAAACCTGCCTGAATCAAATTGAAAAACGAATGAATGAAACGAATACGGACCGTTTTAATACAGTGACGTCGTCGGCCACTTACTAGTAATTCCAAACCAAAACAAAAATATGTTTTCAACTATAAGTTGGGAATTGACTGAGGTAGCAAGTTAATATTTTGAGATCCGTAGATTATCTTAGGCAACACACCGGTTTCCATGAGAAACCACGTGAACTTGACTTCAAGGGTGAACGGTAGTAGGCCTACAATGATTATGGGATAACTCGAAAACGGAAAGATTTTTAAACGCCCAACAAAATCACTAAAATGTTAAGCGTGGTACGTTAGACGAGGATTAGAGCTGACGTCATAACATAAAAGGTGCCTTTTGTTGCGCGTCAAAGACACTTATTTTGTTACATTTGAGTTTTGTTGACCATACTTTCATGACAGATGACGAAACCCACATGGTAGACGCAAGCAAACTATTATGTGACGTTTCAAAATAATCATCCCGGAAATTACTGAAAGTACAATTTCACGATGATCAGTTTCTTCTTTATTTTGGCTTCATCGTATGTACTCCACATACATCAATTTTAAGCCCGAATATTCCTGAGGGGTTCATGCCTAATTCTTATCTGACTACGCAATTGGCTGATTTCCCACTCTCTGTCCGGCCTTTAACTCACTGAAAATTCTCTGCAAGGTGGCCTTGGGCTATTATACGGGATGAGAATTGGCCTATGAGCGAACTGAAAACAGTGGGAACGTTATTTCGGACTTTGTCATTTGCTCTAAGATATAATGAGAATTACAAACTCCTCAAAAATAATAATAATAATAGTAATAATACAATAACAAAATCGATAAACAACAAAATAAAATATTATGTATGGTAGGGAGAACTGCTCATGAGACTCACTGATTGGAAAGAATTTGGCTGATGACGCTGGGGCAACCAAAGTCCTTGTCTCTTCACCGCTCTCGTTTTTTTTTTTATATTGGAGTGGGCAAAAACACAGTTACTAACACTGGAAAAAGGCTTTCTTCACACCTCTCGTTCGGTCCAACAGGCATTGCAGTGGAGAATGGGTGGATCACTGAAAAAAATGTTTGAGTAAAAGATCAAATTAAATGAACCTGTTAAACAGTGCAACGTTCATCTTGAAATAATATTATAAACACTGTGTGCGGCCGAACAACACTCTTTTTTTTTCAAATAACGAAACATGATTCTTAAACATCAAGTGCCATGGTGTTTGTCACGGATGAAGGAGTTATCATCTTATAAGCATTTCCATTAAATAATTTCCCGCTTCATGACACTGACTTTCTAAAGATATCCCCTGAGAGAAATGATGTCTTTTTACTCCCGAACTGGTGTAAAAACTTCCAAGTCGAGCAGTGTGAAACTGGATGTATGTTTAGTTTAGGAGTAATTGAGGTCATAGGAGCCACAATATTGGTCATGGTGCCATTGGGAGTCTGCAATGTTTGTGCTTACAATCCAACTCACCGTCTCTCCACTCAGACCAGTTCATTCGAATTCTTATGCCTGTTATAATTATAACAATTCTGCCTTGTTATTACCCGTGGATTGGCGACAACGGCCGTGGTGGAAAGGTGTTTTGACCACATCACCAGCCAGTGCAAGATCGTTAGCTCAGCACAGCTCCTGTCCTGAACTAGATGATTCTCGAAGATTCAGTTCGATACTGATTACCGCAGAACGTCTCACTCCATTTCTTTAAAACAGTAAATATCCTTAAAATGCTGGATTGGAGATATGCAGTTTAAAATAATTGTCGTTGTTTTTCGTTCGGCATTTTGGTCTGGTTATGAATGAATGCCGTGTGTTCCTCCATGCAACTGCGTTGTTTATGCTGTAGGCCTAAATTGGTAAGTGTCCGATTCTCTTAGTCCATATGGTCATTTATATTCCCACAAACAAACATTATTTAGGGTGAAGTCTACTTCATCGGCCCCTTTAACCACAGCAAGCATCTAAGACTCCCGTTTCTGACGCTACTCTCCCATTCGTTCACTCCCAACCCGGCCTGCGAGCTCAGGAATCCAAAAACGCTCCGGGAAGTTGGACACCAGGTAATTTACGTCTAATCGCTGGCCTTTCACATGTTCTGGAAGCATTGGACGCCTTGGATCCAACGGCCTTGCAAATTTCAACGCTAAACACGTTTTTTTTATTTTGAGTCCTAAAAATCGTTCAAATTATCGTCAAGCCATCCGTGACACCCACTTTCAGCCTTACGTCAGTGACTTCGTGGCAGCGATTTTTGGGGGCAATGTTTGATAATGTACTCAATCTAGAAACCACCGAGATGACTCATTGTCATCTTTTCCGAACCATAATCCCCAGGCTAAGTGGCACCATCCCTTGGCAGGGAAGAGGCAAGAGCCGGTGTCATGAACCGCCGGTTACCACTGACCTCGTCGCAGGGT